TGATATCCGTGGGTAGGTCGCTTCCGCCGAGCCGGGGCCCGGCTTGGCTGGCGGTCGTCAGGGCCCACGGTTGGAAGGCGGGGTGGGTGAGCAGCATATAGGCGGAGAGCGTCCGGACCCAGGGATGGAGACTACCATCTGCCCTCCCGTGTCCCCCGGTACCACCTGTGGTTCCTGCAGCTCCACCTGTCCCTGGCCCACATGACGCGTTAGATAGCCCGAGGGCCGCTATGATGAAGCGCACAGCCCATACCGCATGCCGAGCCTGGATGTGTTGCTGGAGGGGCAGCAGGCCAAAGCCTCCAGCCGACGGGTGGCCGGTCAAGAGATCCTTAGGCACCCCTGTCAAACGGCGGCCGGGGTCTTCTGGGCCCTGCTGCCGGTCGACGAGGCGGGCCGTTAGGCGTTCTATTTCGTCCAGCGTACGGTTGGGGGGCGGCCCACCATGCTCCATGTGCCAGGTGACTGTCTGCATTCCGTACACCGATGCCGCTGTGGCTCGACCGAATGCTGATAGCGGGAAGCGGGAGAGCCGCTGCAGTCGCCGCTTGGCTTCCCCGAGTCTCTTCATCCAGTCGGGCTGTGGCGGGGATGGCTGGTTGTCAATTGGCAGGTTCAGGGCGGTGGCGGTGGTCACCACCTTGAGACCTCCTATTGACTCCTGCTGAGGGGCAGCTGATTGGGGTCCGGCCTGGGTTGCAGGTTGCGCCTGCTGTTGGTTTAATTGGCCAATCCACAGCAGCTCCACTTTGTCGAGATTTAGGCGTTGGCCAGACGCCCGGGGTGGCCAGACGCCCGTATGTATGTATGTATGTATGTATGTATGTATGTATGTATGTATGTATGTACGGGCGCGTGCGTCCCATGGGCTTGTGTGTTAGACGGGGTTGGGATCACAGCCCTGCCACTTTCTGTGACATGCCATACTGCTGTGACGACGGCCAAGGATAATCTCAGTACGGCATTCCCTGTACGACGACGCATACCCTCATCGCTTCCTTCCGAAAAGAAAAACAAGATCAAGAACACCACCACACCACTCTACATATCTTATCACACAAAATCCAACTTGTCGTACAGGGCGGCTCTGCTCGTACGGTTCTCATCATTTGCTGTTCCCCATGCTTGGAGAATGCAGCCGAGACGTTGTCATCCCTGAGGTTTGGATCACGGTAGGTACGGATTCGTGTCGGCTTAGGGTTTAAATTCGTGCTTGTTCGTACTTTCTCGTATTTACTCGTACTTGTTCGTACTTGTTCGTACTCTCTGTTGTAGCGGCCTCGTGGGGGGAGGGCGAGGGATTATATAATAATCTCTATAATCGGGGATTGAACCAATCAAGAAGCAGCACTCCCTTCTCCCTCTGCTCCCGCTCCCCACCACCACCACCCACCTCGGCTGAAAATCCCCCCCCCCCTTGTCACGTCCCCCTTTTCCCCACCTTCAACTGTCCGCTCCACACCCATGCTCATTTACCAACTATGTCCTCCTTCCTTCCATCTTTTAACACCTGTCTTCTCCGAATCTTTTTATTATCTTCAGCGCCAAGGGCGTCCAAAACACAATCACGGTCAATCAGAGGGTGAGTCCTGAGAAGTTGCAGCAGCAGTTAGATCTCATGAAGGCGCGGTGCGCGGCGTTGGCGGAGGAGTTGGCGACAGTCAGGGCACTGGCGGTGACGGCGCCGCTGCCAGCGCCGGCGGGGAAGACCGGCAGCGGTGGCGGCGAATTAGGGGGACGTACGGCAGTGGATCTCAGATCTGGCGGCTGCGGAGGTTGCGGCTGCGGGGCCAGCGGCAAGGCGCTGGGAGCAGTCGGCGGCAGTGGGCGGCGGAGTGTCGCGGCGAACGTCGGCGATGTGCTGCGGGATGGGTGGGAGGGCGCAAAGGTTTTGTACTGTATTTTTGTGGTGATGGCGGCTACCTGGTGTACGGCGAGGGTGGATGCGATGGGCGCTGCTGGAGGACGCAAGGGCAGGAAACGTAGCGTTGACCGCGGCGAGCTTGTGAAGGCCGTGCCGACGCCCCGGCAGGTGCACGCGCTAGCGGACTTGTCGGCGATTGCGGTGCTGGTGATTGGTTTACTTGTCATCGGAGTCTGGGAGGCTTGAGGGTTATTCATCTGTGTCACACATAAAGCACATAAAGGGACTGAAGATGATGAAAAATATTGTGCGACAGTTTGTACGGTGAGGAAGCTGGCGAGTCGTTAGTTGGATTGTGGTAGATGGAACCGGCTACTAGCAACCTTGGCTAATTCAATACAATAAGGCACATGCCACTACACAAGCGAGCAGATTCATTCCTTTTTCCACAAATAAAAGGGAGAGCTGCTGTGGCTGCCTTCTGTAATAGAAGATTTTACCTCGAGTCGGTGCAACGCATAGCTGTTCTAGGTGCTTTCAACTCGAACTCAAGATGGGGCGATCTTAGCTTTCACCCTTGTTAGCGAATCCACTCTGTAGCTGGTGGCAACTTCCAGACAACGGGACTGGGCCAATTGTTCTTCCCAAGCTTGGCCTTGACAGAGGCTTAAATTCTATCAGGAAAACTTATAATAAAAAATAATGTTGAAGGCACTGAAGAAACTCGACCTAAAAGGTAGGGTGCGCAAGACCTGAGCATCTCTTCCGCGACCCATCGGGGCGAAACTGTGCGACGTCTCGATGGTAATATTATCCCTTTCAATCGTTTATATCTCTTAGAACAGGTTCGAGAATCGCAGAAGGAGCTTCGGAAAGGCTCACGAGGTCAGTTCCGCATCCTGGGGCAACGGGCATTTCCTCTGAGAGCTCAACAATAGCTCTGCACTCTCTCAATTTTCTCAAGACATGTGTCTATCTACCGTTGAGCTCTCCTCGTAAAAACTTGACCAGTCGTGACCACATCAAACACAAAATAGTCGTGCCCACACCATACACAATCGCCGCTTACAGCGCCGCGCCTTTCCATCACCCCGCCTCCCCTATTTCCCGCTCCACGACCAGAGGTTGACCGGGAAATCTTGGCTTTACGGCGCGAGGAGGAGAAACTCATTCGCGAAATTAAGGCCGCAGCCAAGGCCGGCAACACAGCCGGCGCCCGCGTCCTTGCCAAATCTCTGGTGCGACTCCGGGGCCAAATCTCCAAGCTGCAAGGCAGTTCAGCGCACTTACGAGGCATCAGCGCGCAAATCACGGTAGGTCCGAGGCGAAGGAGGATGAGTTTTAGAGTATCTTGAGTTTACTTGACATTACTTGAGTTTTTAGCCAAATTCGAACCATATGTTTTGTTCATTCGTGACTCACAAGAACTCATGTTCATTATCACCAGCACCAGCAAAAGCAACAGCAACACCAGCACCAGCACCAGCACCAGCACCAGCACCAGCACCAGCACCAGCACCAGCACCAGCACCATCATCAACATCAACATCAACATCAACATCAACATCCCTCGGCTCTGCAAAGGTTGCCGTCCCCCTTTTTATCTTCCATCACCGTTTTCCCCAGCCCCCGGGTCCAAGTTAAAACCATACCTCACCCACCCCCATGTACGAGAACCCCATGTACGGCACCCACCGAACCCAACACAACCCGACATGTGCAACGTGACGTTCGAAAACCCAAATCCCCGATCGGATCCCGCCCCTCGATGTCCCTTCGATGCCCCGTCCAGACGGCTGCCGCGACCACCAGCGTTGCAAAGGCTGTGGGATCCGCTACAAAAGCCATGACCGCCATGCAGGTGGGTGCGCGTGAGGGGGGGTGCGGTTGGCGTACGGGTGGGGTCTGGGGTGGGGGTGGAGGTGGGATTGCAATTGCGCGTGTGGGTGTACGTGTGGATATGGGTGCAGGTGGAGGTTTGCTCTTGTCTTGGATACGCTCAGGGTTGAGCTCTTTCGGGGCTCTTCAGCTGCAGCTCATGCGGCAACTCAATACTCCGGGCGCTGGGGAGGAAAAGGGCTCACGGGCCCAGAGACTCAGGCGACCTTCGCGAGCCATCCTTTTTCCTTTATTTCCCGTCGTGATGTTTCCTTCGCCCCATATCCCATCATCCACCCATGCATCTACCCAATCCGAACTTGCCCCTTGTTCGTGTTCCTATTCGCACCTTTAAGAATTCCCGTTTCTACCTCGTCAACCACTTCGCACCAACACATTTTTACCACTATCCTGTCCTGTACGGACCCGCCCTCACAAACTTTCATTTCCTACAGACCATGTTTCTTGAACCCCCCCAAGCCTCATAATGAACCGCGTCAGGTCAACCCCACTCCAAATCACATACTGGTATCCACCCTGTCCCGCACCGCTATCTGTCTGTCTGTCTTCCTGTCTGTCTGTCTTCCTGTCTGTCAACCAGCCTCCAAGTTAACGTTTCCCTTTCCCTTCTCCCTCCCCATTCCCCCCTCTCACTCGTTCGCTGCTCACAACCTTGCCACCACTCTGCTTCGCATGTGCCTTTGCCCGCCGCTTCTGCTGCCTGGCCAGGTGAGTCTGAGGAGGTTCGAGAGCTTTGTCGGTGAATCGCGTTGCGTCGGTCGGCTGGCCGGGTTAGGATAGTTGGGTCGGGCGGGTCGGGCGCGTGTTTGGGAGGTTGGGAGGAGCACTTGCACGTCATCAGCTTTTTATTACCAGCTTTTTACTACCAGCAAATCAGCCAGTTTTGGTCCAACCTCGTCAATGCCGCCGCCAGGCCGGCGGCAAACTTTATTCCAGCTCACGTCGTCAGTTCTTCTTCGCCGCCTTTACACCTACCTTTACTTCTTTACGGCTTCGCTCTACTGCTTTTCTTCCCCGCTTCTTGTTTTAGTTTTGGCAGCGAGGTAGGTAGGTTTCTGCGGTCGTCATCATCCCGAGGTCGGCTCTTTGAAATCCGCCTACTGGTCAGCCCTGCTTCTCTTTCCTTGGCAGCAGCTTCACTCGTTCGTGGTTCGTCTTTTCCCCCTCTCCCTCCCCCTCCCCCTCCCTCCCCAACTCCCTATAGTCCACCATGAAGCCCGCCGCAGTTGCCGCCTCCATGGCCGCCTTCTCCCGCGAGAACCAGCGTCTGGATATGGTGGGCGAGGTCATTGGGGACGCGCTGGAGGGCGCTCTGGACACGGATGGGTTGGAGGAGGAGACGGGGGAGCTGGTTGGGCAGGTGCTGGACGAGATTGGAATCGACCTGGCGGCCAGCTTGAAGGTTGGGGGGTGTGCGGGAGGGTGTGAAGGTGTCAGAAGTGGTAGGCACAAGGAAATGCGGTGCAAAGTCATTGAACAGGAGCATAAAGGTGTTATGGAAGGCCAATTGTCATTTCCACAATTTATCACCGTACAGCACCATCCTCCATTACCACTGTATACAACGCCATACGATCTGCAAGTCCAAGGCGGTTGATCGTGGCTTCTTGGATTTCTCCTCATCCAGTCACTCGAACATCCGCAGAACAGAGGGTTCAGTAATCACCCAGCAGCGGGCAAATCTCGGTCCATCAGGTTTGCATGATCACGGCATCACGGTTCAACAGATTATCGAGCAATGCAACATAGATCTGTAATGACGTGATTGCAGAGCCGTTGAGTAAATCTCATTTCGCTACCGGGACTCGAACCCGGGTCTCGAGAGTGAAAATCTCGCATCCTAACCGCCTAGACTATAGCGAAGGTGTGTAACTATAGAGTGATCATATCCAATTGGAGGGCAAGGCATCAGTCTGTAAAGACAACATTATCCGATGTCAGCTCGGCTTTGCCGACAGGGGGGGTGGGGTTGGGTGGGGGGAAGCGCAGATCCCGATTGGATCGGGATAGATCTGGATGTACAGCATATGCAGGTGTGGAGAGTACGGAATGTGGAGGGGGAAGGGAGGGTTGATGCCTGCAGCTGCTTTCCCTCTCTTCTCCCTCCCACCTTTCCCTGGTGGTGCCGATCACCGGTTTTGTCCCATCTTTTCCTTTGCTGGCCACGGATTCCACCCAGGCCACCCACAGCTGCGGTGTTGCACCTGAACCCCAACACACCTCACGCACACACACACACACACGCATGCACGCACACATACACATATGCACACACACGCCAATCCCTTCCATGCACCCGCTCCAGGCTGCTCCCCGAGGCCGCCAAGCCGCCCGCACACCCGCAGCCGCGGTCGCCACATCACAGGAAACGGCCGAAGAGGACGACCTGCTGGTTAGGCTGGCGACCCTGAAGAGCTGATCAGAGCAGTGAACAGGAGGCAACAGGACGTGATGATGTAACAGAAGAAACGGTCAAGGGCAGTTGGGGTGTAGGGGAGGCCAAAAGATGAGGACAACAACAGAAACCGAACCGGAACGTTAACCACCAACTGAAAAACCACCAATATCAGCATGTCGCTCGCCTTCAGTAGCACCTTTCCCTTCCGCGGGAACCACCCCCCTTGGTTTCCACTTTTGGACTCGGTACACCTCTCTGAGTAACGCGACCGAGGTGTAACACACACACACTCTCTCCTTTGCGGAAGAGAAGTTGGAGGAGACGGGAGGTTAGGAAAGGAAGGGTTTACGAATGGATCGGGCGGGACAAAGCAACCCAGACTTTAGAGGAGATTTGGGGGAGGAGGAGGTAATGAGGTGGGTTTGGAATTGGTAGGCGAAGTTGTTGTTTCGGGGCTGGGAGCTGAAGGCGGAAGGGCCCCCAAGGGAGCCCCTGAGCGGCCGTGTTGGGGAAAACACACGTTTCAAAATGTAGGGGGGTTTGGGGGATATGCAGGAGATGTAGACACGTAGAGAGGGGGCAAGGGGTAGTGCCAGGTGCGGTACAGCTCACGTACGGCGCTGTCGTATTGATTGACGGTTGGTAATGATCCAGGGGGTTCCGTGTAGTCAGGTAGTTTGGTTGTTAGTAGGTGGTTAAAAGTGGGCCGCAGGCGCTGACCTGCGGCATCATCCAACGGCACATGTGCAGGGTGTGCGTACGTATGTATGTACATCTTGGTCTCATTTTCAGGATATGTCGACACAAGGCCGCGAGCTCTCAAGATGGTCTTGGTTGCTTGCTGCTGCTGGGCAGCTGGGCTGCTGTCATGTCTTTAGGGGATGATGGTTTCGCGGTGCGGTGGTGGCACTAAAACAAGTAAGAAATGGTGAGAGGCAAGGGGATGGATGGAAATGGATGTGGATAGAGTTGACTGCGCACTGTGTGACTGCTGTACACAAGGGCTCGGGATCCGTAATGTTGATTTGATTTCACCAGTGTTTCAGTGATTTCACCGTAGGGCGGCCCCCGCTGGTTTCAACTCAACACATTGGCGACGGAAATCGGCGACGAGAAACATCTCGACTCGTGTTGTCGTGCATGCAGCAGCTCCCGAGGGCTCTTTACCCCTGTGGTCGAAGACCTTGGAAAGGCAAAGGAGTCGCTGGTCACGTATGGAAGACGTTTCTCATAAAAGACCCGGAGGGTAGGGGGCCCCGATCTGTTGGCAGCCAGGATGCGTGGGGGCTTGTGTTCCCACATACCCAAATACACGCCTAGATTCAACTATACTGTGCTCCTGTCTCCCATGAACTGGTTCTTAGATGTTATGAGCTCGTGTCTGAGCTACCAGTGGCCGTATATGCCGAGGAGGGGGATGGGGACTGGCAGCTGTCCATGGCCATTTTACCACAGACGAGACAAAACCAGCCAAAACAAGAAGCTACATGCTGGCGCCTCGCCAGCAACACCACCACCCACTGCCGCCGGCGCGTACAAGAAATCACCAATGGTCCCGCACAGCTGCAACAACGCAAGGGTGCCCCGCGAGGCAGCCCCGCGAATAACGACGGACTGAACACAAGAACACTGAGGCTGGCGCGGCAACAACATGTTGCCCGAGAAAGCAAAGGGCAGCCCAACGACAAAGTAGCAGCAGCCGCTAAGGACAACACAACAGCACAACTGGAGAATTCTGGCGCTCCCCTTAAAACCTGAACGCCCCCAAAACAACTGAACGTCCTCATGCCCAATACCCTAAAAAGCCGCGGTGAGCTGGATTTGAGGAGCCTGAAAGTCGGAACAATGGGGAGCAGGGGGGATTGGGAAGGAGGGACCGGGAGGGGTTGTTCCAGGTGGGGGGAAGTTAACGAAAGACAAGGCGGAAAGCTGTACTGAGTGGAAGACAAAATAATATCATCGTCAGAGCAGAAGAGTATGCAGGGATTGTCGCTTCGATCTGGGTTATACGAGAATCGCACAGAACCTGCCTTGTGGCTCCGATCCGCTCCGTCGCATGTAAGCCAACACCAAAGCCTTGCTTTGATGGTAGAGCGGAATGGGTGGGATTCTTATGGGAGTTACTTCCCTTATAAATATCTTAAATGTGAGGATTTCGTTTTCTCATTTTGGTGGCAGGTTTTGGGGATTCAATGTAAAATGGTAAAAGACCCACCATCGCTTCGAGTCTTTCTCATGGGCTTCAACTGGAGTTGGGGTGCGACGGCAACCAACCAATTTTTCATACTTACCTGGCCCGCTTCTCGAGGTGGTCAATATGGCCTCGGTTGTATGATTGGTCTTCACCTTGCACTTCGTGAGGGCCTCTCGTAGTCGGCCCTTCGGGTGTCCGGCAGGGCTAAATTTTTGTAAGGCTGAGGATTCGCGCACTGCGCGACCTCGGCTCCTATGTTAAATTGCAACCGCTTTTTGACTACAGTAAAACAACCCTGCTAAGTATATTTCACCCCCAACTTTGGCATGGACCTTCAAAGATATGCTGACGCTGATGCGTTTCCTTGTTTCGATAGTGCGGAGCCATTATCCTAGCACGTGAAAGTTATTCACAATCAGAAAGAACTAGGATTGCTTAACCATGCAGGGTTTAGCGCTTTTTGCGTCTTTGCCTTTTTGGGATTTACCTGCTTGCACCAGACCAAGCTGCAAATTATGGACACCCTTATGATCATCACAAAGGTAATGTATTTCATGAAGGTGTCACACGATAAAGGTGACCAAGGGTTGGCTAGCGTCAACGGTCCTCTATGGCATTCTCCGTATCTCGGGCGCCGTCGGCTCCGCCCTTTGGAGGCCTCAATGTTATCATCAGCAGCGTTGACTAAACCGCGGCCCGTATTTTGCAAAATGGAAATCGCTGTCACCGAACTGTTGTTGCCTCAGTTTGCGCTTGCTGGTAAACAAATAGGATGAATATTAAGTGCTTCATTTTGAAATGGAATAAAACCGAGATACTGTTTTTGTCGCGTCACCACCGGCTAATGTTCGCTTACATCCATCGATCAGCCATAGCATCAGGGCTTACCGCTACCTTTGGGCGACGATGGAGACCTAAGGCGACGCTTAACTTTACGATATGTCGATTATAGCTGCATGGGCGGAAACGAGGGAGGCAATTTCCACGCGGTGCAAATAAAGCTCTCCTGGGAATTGCATAGTGGTAGCATTACTCCCTGCCGACCGGAAAGCCTAGACTGACGATGTTCGCATGCCATCGGCAGTTGTGCCTGTACCAGGCAACGAGCCCGCTCCTGCCCGTTGACGCTGGCGAAAAAAGTGGTGGAAAGTGTGTGTGTGTGGTTGTTACAGTGGGCTCCAGACTCCCGAAGAGTAGAGCCATCGGGCCAGCTGGCCGTGCACTGCAGTAGAGACTAATATACCAAAAGATTATCATCTCAGATAATTAACCTCTCATCGGTAACCGCTCTCGCGAACAAATCAATTTGCCAGATATAATCCTCAAAAAGGGGTGATGTGCGCCAACGGATTCCCAACCTTTTCGTGGAATTCCTAAAGCTGCGAAACCCTGAATGCGGCCCCAAAAATCAACAATAACTCGACAAATTGCTTCTTCCGTAAGGGAAGGACCAGGTAACAGTGCCGGGTTGGTTTTCATGTTTGCAGCCATATAACGTCTCCCATGCTCCATGGCTGACACCGCAGCAAGAGCCACAACATCCCAAACACATTGTTGCACTGATTGTGGGGCTTGGATAAGCCAAAGTTGCTCCCTTGAGACTGGCAATCCTATTGAAAGAGTAAGTTGGTCTGCTATTGCCTGTGCCACCGGACAGGCCCAGAAATGATGATAGCGAGGGGATACACCTCCCACTGAACCTATTGGATAACCTCCACAACCACATATCGTTGGGCGCGACATCCTAAGATGGGAATTTCCTAACATAGGCACCCCATCAACCGCAAGACGCCACCAAATCTCTTTTTGTTCATTTTCCCACCGTAAATGAAACCATAAACGATGGAATGTCCGTTGCAAAAGAAAAATAGCTTCATCCAATATCTCAGAAGAACCCGTCGCCTCTTTGATGAAAAGGGTATGGGCCACACGGCGAGCCATCGAAAAAGGTGAAAGTTGCATATTAGTCGCTATTTTAACGGATAATTGTTGGAATCGGATTGGAGGCCCTACACCCCATCTCCAACCAAGCCTCGACACTAGGGTTTGAGTAACCGACTCAATAGGGGGCACCATCGCTTCCCTAGATTCTACACTCAGCGGCAACAAAAGACTAGCCGCCTGTCTCCAATTCGCTGGAATATCATCTAGAAGAGCGGCAATAGCATCCATACATTCCTGCCATTTACGATAGGTGCACAGGGATTTAGCTAGTGGGGTTTGCGGTTGGAGGTATTATC